ACCCGGAGGCCTTTGATGGTGCCGCCTTCCAGCTCAACCACACCACTACACTTCTGCTACACATATGCCATTTGTGGTTTTGTCGTGTTGCCGCACTCTTCCCTTCGCGCTTTGGGTGGCACTCCTGCGGCCAGTGACACAGGGCCAAGATGCCTTCCCCTCCTCCTCTCGGGCGAGGCGTCCCCCATAGTGGGTGAGCACCTTCGCCATGTGCCACTAGCGCACATGCCCTCGATGTTTAGGAGTACACCTTTTCTGCCCTTGATCTGCACAGGCGGCGGTCCCGGATGCTGGCGCCCGCCCGCCCGCCCGCCCGAGGGGAGGCGCCTTACACACACACACACACACTCCAGTCGGGGACGCGGGGCATGCATGCTGCATGCGGGGGGGGGGGGGGGGGGGGCCCCCCCCGGGGGGTAGGCGAAAGCAAGGGGCCCTCCTTCTCCGCTCGGTTGTCGGTCAACGGCGCCGGGTGGACCGCGGCACATGCCCAAAGGGTCGGACGCGGGCTGCGCCCTCCCCTCTCGATCGGGGGGGGCACTCCGCAAGGGAGGGCGCGGGGAGGCCGGTGGCCCGCTCGCGTTGGGCCCAATCAGATCACCCCTCCGCCACGTGGTGTGTCACGAGACAACACTCCAGTGTGGCGATCGCCCCATCCCCAGGCCTATGCACCGGCATTTTCAGCCGGCGGCCGGCTCGGTGGTGTCTCTGGTCGCCAGTCCCATTCCACCCCTCAATCTCCCTGCTTTTCTCGCGGTCTCCTTCCCCTCGCCCTGCCCCCTGCCACATTGCCGCTCTTCGGTGCCGCCATTGCTGTCTGCCCCGGATGAATCCCGAGGACTTCGGCTTCAACCGCCCCCCGCGCCCGGTCCCCGGACAATACCAGCCGCGGCGGTCGAGCCCCCTGTCGGGGCTGTCTTCGTACGGGTGCCCCCCCCCCCCCCCTCCCTGGTAGGGGCTTTTGCCCCTCTCCCTGCATTGCTTTCGCCTGGGCTGGATCTGCCTTACATGCGTAGCCTCTTCGTCCTGCTCCGCCCCCTGCTCCTGCCACCTAACAAATCTCCTCCCCCCCCCCCCCCCCCCCCCCAATGGCGCACTCCACAAAGGCACCCAGAGAGCGGGGACCTTCCCACCTTCGACCCCCTGGCACCGGCCTCCCTGCACCATGTCAGGCCGTCGGATGACTCGCGCTATGATCCGCTCAGCTGGACGGACTACTTTAGCGAGCACTACTTCCTGGACATCCCGGATGGGGTATGCACCCCCGGCGTGGGACGGCTCTGGGTGCCTGCTCCCCGTGCATTTCCGTGTGCCTGACCCTTCTCTTCCTGTCCTCCCCCCTCCCCTCGCCTCCCCCTGGTCATCTGGGTCACCCGCAGAAGGTGTCTGTCTATCAGATCGGTCAGATGGCCCCACACCGGCCGCTACTGATCCTGCACCATGGTGCTGGGCATTCCGCCCTATCGTGGGCTCTCTTCAGTGTGCGCATTGCATTTGCTTGACCTCGCTGCCCTGCGGTTGCTTGCCAGTCTGACGCTTCTGTCCTTCGGTCACAACTCGGCGTCCACCGACACATGCAGAAGAGCCTCTCTGCCCAACTTGGCGGAAACATTGCCATCGTGGCCATCGACTGCCGTAACCACGGTCCGTTCTCCCGCACTAGGGGATCCACCTCTCTGCCGCCGCCGCCGCCGCCGCCGCCGCCGCCGCCGCCGCTGCTGCTGCTGCTGCTGCTGCTGCTGCTGCTGCTGCTGCTGTTGCCGTCACCGCCGTCACCGCCGTCACCGCCGTCACCGCCGTCACCCCCGTCACCCCCGTCACCCCGACTCCCCTCGTGTCCTGTGCCTCTGACTCCTCTTGTTTGTTCCCCTCCTCCTCTCGCACTTGCCGCATACAGGTCGCACTGAGCTTGCCAACCCGACGGCCCTGTCGCTGGAGCAGCTGACAGCCGACTTGGCGGCCATAATCGAGGCTCTCTTCGCCCGGGGGGGATTGGACCCGAAGGCTCCGCCCCATACCTTTTTGGCTGGCCACAGTCTGGGCGGGGCGGTGGTGGTGAACGCCGCACGGCCCGATGCCAAGGTGCAGATCCCGGCCCTGTCTGGGGTCATTGTGCTGGATGTGGTCGGTGGCACGGCGCACGATGCGGTGATCAGCCGAAGCGTGCACCGGGTGCTGCAGGCGCGGCCATCCACCTTCCCTGACATCCGGTCGGCCATCGCGTGGTGGTATGTTGGTGCATGCGCATGCGCATGCGCATGCACGGGTCTGTCCGCTTGTCCGGCTGGGTGCTTTCCCTCCTTGTTGACCCGCCTCCCTCGTCGCTCCTTCTGTTCGGCTGCTTGCCTCTCATGCTCCCAATTGCCGCCTTCTCGCCGGTTCCTGCCTCGCTGTCGGTCCTTCTTTCGCCCACCTTTCGGACAGCGTGACAAGCCAGACCGTGCGAAATCTGGAGAGCGCTCGAGTGTCGGTGCCGAGCATTGTCACCGAGATCGAGGGCCGAGGGGATGCCGCGCCGCGCCTCCGCTGGGTGACAGATCTCTTCTCGAGCGAGCCCTACTGGTCAGGTGCGCCATTGCCAGCGGGCGACCCCAGCCCGGCTGTCTTCCCTCTCATGTGTGTGTGTGTGTGTGTGTGTGTGTCTGAGTGTGTGTCTGAGTGTGTGTCGGCGCACGCGCGGAAATGCGTGCGCCCTGTGCCATGTGCCCCTGACCGATCGTCTGCTCATGTGGATGTGCATATGTGTGTAGGGTGGTTCCCCACCCTGTCGGAGGATTTCCTCAAACTGCGCTGTGCCCGGTTGCTGGTGTTGGCCGGGCATGATCGTCTGGATGAGACCCTGCTCATTGGACAAATGCAAGGTGCGTATGGACAAGCAGCTCGCCGCTTCGGACGAGTCCTCTCCTCGATTTGCATGCGCCCCTCTGGGCTTCATTTGTTGCCCTCCCCCGCCCCCCTCGCTTGCTTGCTCGCTCGCCGGCCCAGGGCCGACGGGCAAGCACGCCCTTCGCCCATATTGATGTGTCTTTCCCGGTTGCTTCGTCCCATGTTCGTGGCTGCCCCGGGCGGCACCCTCTGCCTTCAGGTCTGTTTCAGTTTAAGATCCTCCCCCAGGCGGGGCACTGCGTGCAGGAGGATCAGCCCGGCCTGTTGGCGTCCACCATCGAGGGCTTCGTGTCCCGATACTCGGGGGCTCGGCTTCGGTAGGAGGGGCAGGGGATTCAGCGGCCCCGGTCGCGCCGGGTGCTGGCCCGCTGTTATCTTCCCCTTTTGGCCGCCGCTCGGACGGGCCAACGTGCTGCCTCCCTGGCGGAGGATTCCAGGGGGAGGGGGAATAACAAATAACAAATATACCAGCAATATACCCCTACCTGCGCGGTTCACCCCGTCCCCCCCCCCCCGAGCGGGAATAAGGCCTGTTGTGTGCGTGTGTCAGGCTGCGGAGCGCGAAGTGCCAGCGTAGGCACGCTTGGCCGACACTGAACCATTGGCACCCACAGCGCCGAGGCTGACGCTTGCCACCAACTCCCCTGTGTTCTTGCATCCGCACGCGGGCGTGCGGCAGCCGTGCCCCGAGCACAGAGGGGGGAGGGAGGCGCGCGCGGGACGCTGCCCCCCCCCCCCCCCCCTCCCGCGCCCGGGGCACGGCTGCGGCCCGGGTGCGGGCCGACGGCCATGGCGGGCCGATGATGGCCGGGCAGCGCCCTGCTGCTTAACCCTTTTTTCTCTTCTCGGCTCGCGAGGTGCGGCGCGGGGGAGTCAATCCGGAATCTCCTGGCTGCGTGCGGGTGGCCACGGTGCACCCCGGGATTGTCGTCCCCCTCGGGACGGGGCACGCCCCCTGCGTACGGGAGGAGCATGCGGGGGGGGGGGGGTGAGCCTTGAGCGAGTCCGGAAAAACATGCGCGAGATACCCCGACATCATCCCGCTCCACCGGCAGGGTGGTGGCGGCGGCCGGTCGAGAGGAGGGCGCACCGCGAAAGCCAGAGCATGATGCCGCGAGTCGCGTGCCGGCGGCACCCTTAACAGGGGTGCTATGGCCCGGTGTTCTGTCCTGCGCAGGGGGCGAATTCTTGCCCCGCCCCCCGCGGCAGGGGCACGCGTTTGCGCCCCTGTGTTGGGGACGCCGGGCGCTGCCCGCTTCCGGGGGGGCCCGGCGGCGGGTCCTTCCCCCGTCCTGTGTCCTCTTCCCGTCCCCCTCCCCCCCCCCCGCCCCGTGCCCTTGGGGCCGCCACGCGCCACTGTATATCATTTACGCGACCCAATTTCCCGCATCGCCCGGCCCGGGGCTCTCACTGCGGGCTTTTGTGCGGGGCCCATCCCCTGGCGCCCGGCACACGCACGCGCGCACACACCGCCCAGGGCGGCGGGCTTCAACTGCGCCCGGGCGCAGCACGGAGGCCCGGCGGGCACGGCCCCCCCCCCCGGCACATGTGAATGTCATCTCCGGCTTACCGGCTCCGGCTCGTCCCGTCCCGTCCCAGGAATGGCGGAGGTATGCGCAGGCCCGCGCGCCTGCGCTCTTGGCTCCCCGCCTGTGCTCCTGGCTGTGTGTGCAGCAAGGGACCGAAGTGGCGGTACGCCCCCTGGCCACTGAGTACCCCCTGAGCGAGCGCGCGCGCTTGTGTGCGTGCACGTCCGCAGGCTGACGCGCCGGTGCAGGTCGGCTGGCGGTCGGCTGGCCAGCTCCCCCCCCCCCCCGCGCACCCCTGAGTGCATCCGATGATGTGATGCGATTGTCGCTGGCCGGTCGGACGGAGGCAGATGTCGGAGCAGGGGGAATCTCCCCCGTGGAGCGGGCTTACGTCCCCTCTTTTGCCCCCGGGCGCCCCCCGGCCCCGCGGCGGTTCCTGGGCGCGCGCGCGCGCCGGGGGCACGCCAGGCGCGTAAGTGGGTACAGCAGAAGCCCCCCCCCCCCCCCCCCCCCCCCCCCCCCCGGGGGGCCGGCCCGCCCCAGGTGCGCGGGCAAACGAGCGCACGCTTCCCCTCCGGTCCCCGGGGAGAGCGAACTCCCCGGACTGGGTGCCCAGCCTTCCCTGGAGGCCCCATACCGATGCTGGGGGGGGGGGGGGGGGGCGAGGCAGAGCAGCGCCTCGGCGCTGCCCATCCCTCCCTCTCCCTCTGCCTCTGCCCCTTCCTCTGCCCCTCGCCGTCTCTCTCCCTTTCAAGAAGGTGGGACCCACCCGGCACGGGCCGTCCCGCCCGTGCGAGCATCTCCCCTTCTGGCACCACTGCCCCTCCCCTCCCTCCTTGCCCCGCGCCTCCCCGCCTTCCCCGCTCCCCTTCGTGCCAGTCCTCGCCTTGCCCCCTTTACACGCAGACGCACACACGCGCGCCTCGCCCCCTCTTTCGGCCGCCCGGACGTCGCTGATGGCGGTGCGCTTGCCAGCCCTGTTCCCCCGCCTGCGTTCCTCCCTGCATTATGCGCACTGGCCGGCTGGTGGCCGGACCACGCTGACCCTCTGCGTCGGCCATCGCGTGGTGGTATGTTGGTGCATGC